AAGTCACCTTTATTTATATAGCGCTTTATCCAATACAGATTGTGACAAAACAGCTTTACAGTGTTAAATAGGAAAAAGGCATGTCGATAACGCAAGAGGACAATATAAAATAGTCAGTTTTTTGGTTAAAGTCAGTTCATTGTTGATTCAGTAATGTCATCGTCCAGCTCAGTTCAGTTCAGTGTCTGTGCAATCAAGCCAACAATATTGCTAGAAATTGTGTTGACCTACAACGTTGTATAGGCTACATGAATTTTAATACAATCAAATTCCGCACATATCAGTTTAGCTTTTACATAGAGAAATTAACAGACACAAAAGACATGTTTTGAGAGAACCTTACAAAATAGGTTAAAAAACCCGTGAACAATCAAATTAGTTAATAAAATAAAATAAAAGTGCAATTGCATCTAGCTAGCTACAGTAGGAGGACTTAAATACAACTCATGGATATATTGTCCAGTTTGTTCAGAATGAGTTTTTATTGCCAGGTATGTTTACACATACGAGGAATTTGTTTTCATGACAGAAGTGGACGACGTTGCTTATGTCCTTGTGGCATGAAGATGTGGAAAACTGACAGAGGTTAGTATCAACAAGAGTCACTGGAGAACTGCTACTAAATAAGCTAACTCAATACTAAATAAAACTCAGTCAAAGTACAAAGTCTTCAATAAGCTGGAGTGAAAGGTCTCATAATCTCTTTACATTTTCAGATATATAATGATACCTTCAGTTGCTGAAGAATAAGAAAAGTGTATTTCTTTAAAATACTGGTCTCTAATAATGAGTTTTTTCCATACTTTAGTTTTTGGAGTTGATATTTGGGGTCATTCTTCATAGCAGAGAACTGCTGTACTCCCGAATCTCCTAGATTGTTGATGTACAGATCCAGTTCTCTCAGGTGTGAGGGGTTCGATCTCAAAGCTGATGCCAGAACAGCACAACCGTCATCTGTGATACCACAATATTCCAAAACTGCAATGACAAATTGTGATTAAAAACAAAGAGCAAGGAAAGAGCAAAAGTAATGATCTTACCCGCAGTATCTCGAGTTCACAGTCAGGCTTTTCTAGAGTGGTAGAGAGGATTTTTATATGCTTCTTAGTTTATTTTGAGAAAGATCCAGCTCTCTCAGGTATGAGGGGTTTGATGTCAATGTTGAAGCCAGAGCAGCACAACCTTCCTCAGCAATTTTACAATTCCTCAGTCTGTAGAGAAAAAAAGAAAGAAACAAATCTTAATGCTGCTGTTGATTTTTATACACATTGTGTTTTTTTTTGGTAAAAATAAATACAATTGTATTAAATAAACTAATTTCTCCTTAAAATTCTTTTGTGATCTTGCTAAATAACATGATCATTAGCTGGAGTAGGTATTTTCACAAAAGCACCGTATTCACAATTTATATACGCTCTATAATAAATAATTGTAAAAAGTTTAACATGAATGACGGCTCTCTCTATAATGATATGATGAATTGAAAATCAGTGGACCGATTGCAGTATAAAAAAAATTATGAATTCTGCATTTTCAGCATGATTTTGACATTAACTTACCGCAAAACTTCCAATTTACAGTTTGGATCCTTTAAAACGTCAAAAAGTGCTTGCACACCTGAGTCACCTTTATTCCAATCTAGATCCAGTTCTCTCAGGTGTGAGGGGTTTGATTTCAAAGCTGAACCCAGAGCAACACAGCCCTAATTAGTGACTTAACAGTGGTCGAACCTGCTGAGAGAATTACAATAATTTCTGTGCTTAGCTTTGGAACAAAGGACTTATTTGACAAATTTGACAAACTTCCGCAATCCAGTGTCTCCAAATTTATTTGCAGACAGATCCAGCTCTGTCAAGTGTGAGGGGTTTGATCTCAGAACTAAAGCCAGAGATGCAACCATCACTTGTGATACCACAAAGTCTAATCCTGCAGAGGAAATGGCATCATATCAAGGTTAATGGACACATAGTTCTTTATGTTAACAAAACAAAGCTAAATGTCAAAATATGTGTTTTAGGATAATTTAGAAGTAATCTTACCACAGTTTCTTAAGTTTACAAAGGGGATTCTGGAATTCAGCAGAAAGAATCTTCAATCCGGAGTTAGTGTGTTTATTACAGATCCAGCTCTTTTAGGTGTGAGGGGTTTGATCTCAGAACCAAAGCCAGAAAATCACAACCCTTATCAGAAACATCACAAAACTCCAGTCTGCAAAAACCAAAAAACCTGAAAAACCCCCCCAGGGTTTTCTTCATTAAAGACTTCTTCTCAATGTCAGTTTTGCAATACATTTTTTTTTCAGCTAATATGTGGGCCTTGAAACAAGGTAAATCAACCCTCTACATTGCGAGTAAATCACTCGCATATGCGACTAAATCTTCACTCTGGGCGACTAAATTATGTATAATGGCTAATACATTCTCAGATTTTACTCGCCAGTGTGCGAGTTGGAGGCTGAGTACAAGTTTAATACAGATATATTTTCATTCGCCGAACACTCTGACCTAGCGCTTCAGAGTTTCACTCTCAGTCAAGTGATCTGTGCTATTTTTCAGTTCATCTCAATGGATGCGCAGCGCACCTGTGTTTGTGTATTTGACATATCGTAAACTCTAGTGTGAAGTATGGGAAGCCAAACAACCCAAAAGTGGGATGAAACAGCGTGGTATTACAGTGTCCGCGCCGCGCTGACCTGTCATCGGCACGACTCAATGGACCGAGCTCAACTCGACAGCGCAGAGAGGACGTGTTTACTAGCACCACCGAGCTAACAGTGCAGCGCTGATCAGTTACAACAGCACGAACATTACTCTCTGCAGAAGTTCGTGTTTTTCTCCTGCACATAACATAATGAAGAGTTATTACATTTCTTTTGCTTATTATCTTTCATATTACTACATGTAAACAGTAGTGTTAGCTACTTTGAAGCATGTATAGCCTATATTTAGTAGTCACATTCACAGCAGAAACTTCCATTATCCTCTTAGAATAAGAGTTTCGTTCATCAAAGCATATTTTAAGTACATTTTACATTTAAGGATATTTGTGTAACTGTAGCATATGTTTATACTTGAAAAAAAGAGTAAAATGTACTGATACTTTTCTGTCAGGACATACATTTTCCCTTAAGGAAATACGGAAATTAACAATGGTTTTACTATAGTAAAAGTGCAGTAACCATGGATTGATTGTCATTTTTTTAACCCACAGTTTAACTACAAATATATGGTTAAAAGGTGAGTGTAATAAAATCATGGTTAATTTTAATGTGTTTTCCGATAAACCTAAAACACAATGCAGTGTAAAATTCAAAATACATCATATTGAATTTACATACACTGTCCCTAATTTTTAAAGAGTTTTTTTGTTAAAGTTAAAGTTAAATAACAACGTTCCCTTTACTAGAGACAACAAAAATCCCATATATATACTAGGCTATTTAATAATAGTTCAAATTTAAAATGGGCAATATTGTGCTGAATGTAGAACTTGACGACAACAACAATAATAACTAAGTACAATAAATATATATATATATATACTAGAAGCTGGGTGTGCTCCTCAAGAGGACTATGGTATTGTAAATTTATTAAAGTCTTATATATTTTATATTTGCAGTTTTTCAAAGTACAACTGTTTACATGTAGTAGAAAGGTAAGCAAAATAAATGTAATAACTTAATACTGATCTTCATTATGTTATGTGCAGGGAAAAAAACACAAACTTCTGCGGAGAGTAATGTTCGGCTGCGCTGTTGTAACTGATCAGCACCGCGCTGTCAGCTCGGTGGCGCTAGTAAACACGTCCTCTCTGCGCTGTCGAGTCGGTCGCGCAGCTCGGTCCATTGAACACTGTAATACCGCGCTGTTTCATCCCACTTTTGGGTTGTTTGGCTTCCCATAGTGAAGACGCACGACTCGCCGTCGCTTTGTCTCACTCGCGCAAAGTGTGTGAGAGAGAGACTTACATAATATGCAGAATTGATGCGCTACATGTAAGTCAAGTCAAGTCAAGTCTGCTTTATTGTCAATTCTTCCACATGTACAGCACATACACACATCATCATTGAAATTGCGTTACTCTCAGACCCTTGGTGCATACAGATAACACTACAGTAGAACATAAATACAGATAGATACAGATTAAATACAAAATACAACTATACAAATAAGGTAAAATGTAAAAAAATATATATATATATAAAGCACAAGGCATATGGCAGACAGAGTGCAAACCAGTAAAGTAAACAACAATGCAGATATAATGATTGTAGTGCACACACACAAAAAAAACCCTATACGATATTCTTTGTTGTATTTTCCTGTCAAAATAAAGGAGTTCCTTTGGAATTCTTCAGCTTTTAAGAACTTCCGGGTTCTCCAGTAGTGGGTAGAAATAATGCACAAATGGCAATCTCATTGGCTGGTGCTCACCTATGATCATCCATGTTTTGATTTCAGCGAATCTTTCCTTTACAGCTTTCTGATAGAGGTCAGATATTGAACCTTGTTTAACACAAGTCAGAACACTGGGTAGAAGACTAGGTTGGTCTATCACATTTATATTTTGATTCACAAATAGGTAGGCTACACATATAAACCTGAAAGATGTTCCTGAACACTCAAATGAACAAAACAGTAGACTTTCCCCTGATGAAAATGATTTGACCTTCATTTGAGGAGAATTCAAGTTGTTTTGTGCACATGAAAGGTTGCAGAAGATCTTGAAGACTGAATGTTTGGTCCTTTATCAAATTAACCTCTCTAAAAGGAAGTGGAAATATGAGGTGGATGTCCTGATTTGCTTTCCCTTCAGCCCAGGCCAGAATGAACTTCTGCACAGAGACTGTTTTTCCAATTCCAGCGACTCCAGGTAAAAGTTTGAAGATGTCATTCAAGTTGATAGGCGTATCATCTCTTGTTCCTCTCCTAAATGCAGTTTCAATCCATCTGATCTCATGTTCATTATTGGTCTCTCCTCTTCCACCTTCTGTGATCTCAGTGTAGATCTCGTTGAGAGGTATGAGGTTACTATGTCTTGATATCCCTTCACACAAACACTGAAATCTCAGATTTGATTGGACTGCTTCTCAATTTTGATCAAGGGGTGAGGCAGCACTGGAAAATTAAAATAAATCTTGTTATACATTTTAAACCATTACTCACATAGCAGATCGTTTAATCATTTAAATATATATGATATATTTTAAGACTCGTAAACTGATACTTTTAATAATCGTAAAATGTAAATTAAAGACAAATAAACATTAAAAAGGACTTAATACAATGACCAGCAAGATACAGAAGCCTTTTTTCCTCTCATGATATAACTAAAGACTCTAAAGTAACATAAACAAGGATTTAATCATATTAATCTTTTACCTAGATTCTTTTAAATCCAGTGGACAACTCACACACTGATCACTCCTTATAGACTTTTGGTTGGGACATGAAGAGGATCTTCCCTGCTGCTCTGAGCTGCAGTGAAACAGAAACATTACAATGTGAATTTAGTGTAATTAATTGTAACAACTGTGAAACAGTCACAAGCATGAGACATAGATTCACAATTGTTAAAAGTTAACTCTCTCTTTTTTTAAATGACATTGCATAAAACTGAAAAGTGATAGTGAGGAAAACCTATTAATTATTAATGTACCTGGATTCTTTTAAATCCTCTGGATGACCCATTGACTGATCACTCCTCATGGCTGGGACATGGAGATGCTGCTCTGAGCTGCAGTGAAGCAGAGACATTGCAACAATAATTCAGTGGATCTTCCTGTCATTCAGAACCAAGTGCTGCACAATGAGCTAGGTGTAATTGTGACATTAAAAAAAAAAAAAAAAAAATGTCCAATTGAGAGATATAAAACATTTTGGCTTTATTTTGGTTACGTAATACTAAAGACTAACAAAGTTTTTAAAACTAGTTTTTGAGCGATTGAAATCTAAATTATCCAAAAAACGTAAGTGTGATGATTCTGTCACAACAAGTCAACAACACAAAATAAGGAATGCTCAAAAGACTATGAGAAAGGTTGAATTAGGATGGATGAATTATGAAGTAGAAAATGACATCTTCAGACAAGTGAGAACAAGAAAGGGTGGTGGTACACAAAAAGTAGATGTCTCCAGTGAGACCACAGCGCCATAACCTGCGCCAGACAGTTTTGTTTGCTCACATTCCAGTTCCATTAATACAGCGCATGATACAGTATGTAAAAATGCTAATAATACTTCAGACAGTTTAACTGTGCAGGATCTATTTGTAGTTTTGACAACTTGCAGGACTTACCACAATGTTTCTAGTTTGCAGTGAGGATTTCCCAGTCCAGCAGAAAGGAGCTTCACACCTGAACTCTGCAGATTATTGAAGTTTAAGTTTACTTCTCTCAAACATGAGGATTCTGAGCTGAGAGCTGATGCCAGATCAGCACAGCAATTCTCTGACAGACTACAACAGCCAAGCCTGAAAAAATAAAAATAAACTAATAAAATAAGATCGCTCATATAAACAATTATAAAAACAGGAAATATTACAGAAATATTATTTATTTGGTTTTTATATGATCATCAATATATACTAAAAATACTCTCAACCTGATTTGTTAAAGTGTCGGTACTTGAATGTCACAAGGAAATAGTATGAATGCTAGTAAAGTCCTAGTCAAATGCACATATCTGTACATTTAAGTTCAAAACAAGGCCCTTTATGTACAAGATAATATGCAAATGCTTAGTCAAATCTAAGCACATATATACTTTTTACTTACTGAGCTGATCTGGACAGTTCAACCACAGGTAATAGATTATGGAGAACTTGATCTTGTGTGAGGTGTTTCTGGTTGAACTCATCCCTGATGTATTTGTTTAATTCAAACACTTCCAGTTTCTCTGAGGTAAGCAACACAAAAACCAGCGCTGACCACTGAGACGGAGACAGAATGGCATCTTTGATTCGTTCCAGCATTCAGATAGTCTTGGATTTCATTTTCCAGAGTATGATCACCTAGTTCATTCAGACAGTGAAACAGGTTGATGGATTTCTCTGGAGAAAGATCTTCTGTAACCTTCCTCTTGACATACTGGATAATTTGCTCCATATTGTGAGATGTTGCTCCTGTTTGTGTCAGTAGGCACTGAAAAAGAGTTTGATTGGACTCTAACGAGAGACCCAGAAGGAAGCGAAGGAAGAGGTCTAGATGGCCATTCTGACTTTGCAAAGCTGCTTCCACAGCCCTCTCATAGACTGTGAAACATGCTGGGAACTGAACGTCATGTTCTAAGGACTGGTATTCACTGAGAACATCTAGGTTTTTCAAATTGAATGAAAACATCACATACACAGCTGCTAGATGTTCCTGAATGCTCAGATGAACGAAGCAGAAGACTTTCCTCTGACACAGACCAAACTCCTCTCTGAAGATCTGAGTGCACAACCCCGAATACACTGATGCTTCTGTCACATCAATGCCACATTCTCTCAGATCTTCTTCATAGAAGATCACATTGCCTTTCATAAGGTGCCTAAAAGCCAGTTTCCCCAGTTTGAGGATCATGTCTTCATCTTTAATTTTAAAGGCCTTCTCATGCATATTTCTCATTTGAAGAATCAGGAAGTGTGTGTACATTTGAGTGAGAGTCTTGGGAATCTCTCCACTCTCTGCTTGACTCAACATCTTCTCTAGAACAGTGGCTGAGATCCAGCAGAACACTGGGATGTGACACATGATGTAGAGGCTCCTTGATGACTTCAGGTGTGAGATGATTCTGTTGGTCAGACTCTGATTTTTGAATCTCTTCCTGAAGTAATCCTCCTTCTGAGGGTCATTGAAGCCTCGTACCTCTGTCAGTCGATGGACACACTCGGAGGGAATGAGATCAGCTGCTGCTGGTCTGGCGGTGATCCAGATGAGAGCAGAGGGAAGCAGATTCCCCACAATCAGGTTTGTCAGCAGCACGTCTACTGAGGCTGATTCAGTCACATCACACAACTTCACGTTGTTGTGGAAATCCAGAGACAGACGACACTCATCCAAACCATCGAAGATGAAAATGATTTTACCTTCATTTGGAGAGATTTCAAGTTGTTTTGTGCCCATGAAAAGTTGCAGAAGATCTTGAAGATTGAATGTTTGGTTCTTCAATAAATTGAGCTCTCTGAAAGGAAGTGGAAATATGAGGTGGATGTCCTGATTTGCTTTCCCTTCAGCCCAGTCCAGAATGAACTTCTGCACAGAGACTGTTTTTCCAATGCCAGCGACTCCTTTAGTCAGCACAGTTCTGATGGGTTGCTTTTGGCCAAGTAACAGTGTGAAAATGTCATTCAGGTTGATTGGGGTATCTTCTGTTGCAGCTTTCCTGGATGTTTTTTCAATCCAACGGACCTCATGCTCATCGTTGATCTCTCCACCTCCCCCTTCTGTGATGTAGAGCTCAGTGTAGATCTCACTGAGAAGTGTTGGGCTTCCCTGCTTTTTTATTCCCTCACATAAACAGTGAAACATTGTCCACAGATCTGATATAAGTTTGTTGTGGACTTCAGCATGTTGACAGTCAGTGCTTCAACATAAGCAAGAAAACACACAAATTAGCAAGCACAAACAGATTTATACACATGCAGACATGGTTCTTCAGAAAGTTGTTAAAAAAAAATCAATGGTCAATTTTAATTTACATGTATTTATACGTGTGAATACCTGGTCCTGCACTCACGGAGTGCTGGCTTTATCCCATCACAACTCTGACATTGTCTTCTTGCATGTGACCTGAGCACATTACAGACTTCAGTATATGGACAGTCATTACTATGAGTAATTATGCACAGATCAAGCTTCAATAGTCAAAGATTCCTTGGGTTTACATTATAGAAATGCCTCCAATGTTTTACATCTTTATTTTGAAACATACCTGTGTTCAGAGGTGTCTACATCCTTGAAGAACACTGGAAGCTCTATTGACTGACCACTGTTTATGGACACACAACTAGGCACCAGTGAATCTGCTTTCTCTGACTGCATCGATCTGAAACACGACAAATTAATGACCGCTCTATTCAGAACACTTTATCATATACAGTAATGTTCTTGTATTCAGAGCAGAATTTGTTGTTAAATACATTGTAGAAATGATTTTGTGCAATCAGAGTGAAAATTGTTTCTGCACCATTTGTTTTTCAGTGTATGTATTTTATTTCCACACCTGCCACCATTTAAAAATAACAGCAGTTTTAGAACAGTCTTCAAAACTATCTCTGTTTTTTTTTAATTACCTGTGTTCAGAGGTGTTTTTATCTTCTTTTCCAAAGAACACCGGACGCTCCATTGACCGGTCACTGTTTATGGACACACAGCTCGGCACTGGTGAGTTTGATCTCTCTGCCTGCACTGAACTAAAAATAAAAACACAATTTAAGCACTTTTTCATTAATGCTTTCATCATGAAAAAGCCTCGTACCTCTGTCAGTCGATGGACACACTCGGAGGGAATGAGATCAGCTGCTGCTGGTCTGGCGGTGATCCAGATGAGAGCAGAGGGAAGCAGATTCCCCACAATCAGGTTTGTCAGCAGCACGTCTACTGAGGCTGATTCAGTCACATCACACAACTTCACGTTGTTGTGGAAATCCAGAGACAGACGACACTCATCCAAACCATCGAAGATGAAAATGATTTTACCTTCATTTGGAGAGATTTCAAGTTGTTTTGTGCCCATGAAAAGTTGCAGAAGATCTTGAAGATTGAATGTTTGGTTCTTCAATAAATTGAGCTCTCTGAAAGGAAGTGGAAATATGAGGTGGATGTCCTGATTTGCTTTCCCTTCAGCCCAGTCCAGAATGAACTTCTGCACAGAGACTGTTTTTCCAATGCCAGCGACTCCTTTAGTCAGCACAGTTCTGATGGGTTGCTTTTGGCCAAGTAACAGTGTGAAAATGTCATTCAGGTTGATTGGGGTATCTTCTGTTGCAGCTTTCCTGGATGTTTTTTCAATCCAACGGACCTCATGCTCATCGTTGATCTCTCCACCTCCCCCTTCTGTGATGTAGAGCTCAGTGTAGATCTCACTGAGAAGTGTTGGGCTTCCCTGCTTTTTTATTCCCTCACATAAACAGTGAAACATTGTCCACAGATCTGATATAAGTTTGTTGTGGACTTCAGCATGTTGACAGTCAGTGCTTCAACATAAGCAAGAAAACACACAAATTAGCAAGCACAAACAGATTTATACACATGCAGACATGGTTCTTCAGAAAGTTGTTAAAAAAAAATCAATGGTCAATTTTAATTTACATGTATTTATACGTGTGAATACCTGGTCCTGCACTCACGGAGTGCTGGCTTTATCCCATCACAACTCTGACATTGTCTTCTTGCATGTGACCTGAGCACATTACAGACTTCAGTATATGGACAGTCATTACTATGAGTAATTATGCACAGATCAAGCTTCAATAGTCAAAGATTCCTTGGGTTTACATTATAGAAATGCCTCCAATGTTTTACATCTTTATTTTGAAACATACCTGTGTTCAGAGGTGTCTACATCCTTGAAGAACACTGGAAGCTCTATTGACTGACCACTGTTTATGGACACACAACTAGGCACCAGTGAATCTGCTTTCTCTGACTGCATCGATCTGAAACACGACAAATTAATGACCGCTCTATTCAGAACACTTTATCATATACAGTAATGTTCTTGTATTCAGAGCAGAATTTGTTGTTAAATACATTGTAGAAATGATTTTGTGCAATCAGAGTGAAAATTGTTTCTGCACCATTTGTTTTTCAGTGTATGTATTTTATTTCCACACCTGCCACCATTTAAAAATAACAGCAGTTTTAGAACAGTCTTCAAAACTATCTCTGTTTTTTTTTTAATTACCTGTGTTCAGAGGTGTTTTTATCTTCTTTTCCAAAGAACACCGGACGCTCCATTGACCGGTCACTGTTTATGGAAACACAGCTCGGCACTGGTGAGTTTGATCTCTCTGCCTGCACTGAACTAAAAATAAAAACACAATTTAAGCACTTTTTCATTAATGCTTTCATCATGAAATGCTTTTATTCAGATCAGGCTTTTATCAATAAGTATGCAATACCTGTGTTCAAAGGTGCCTCCAACTCAAAACTGACCTCATCTGCCTTTAAATGTACACATTGGTTTGTCTATCTATCTATCTATCTATCTATCTGTACACATTGGTTTGCTACATCCATTTTTTAAGTACCTGTATTCTGGGTTGGCACTGGCAGCATCTCTACAACATGGTTTATGTTTGCTTAACTGGTGCTTCTTTATGGGTGCGCAGCATGGCTCTGGTGAGCCTGGTCTTTCTGGCTCCATTTATCTGTTACAACAGCAATAAAGCATTTCTTAGCATAAAAAATTATTTTCCAAGACAATGCTCTGTTTGTGGACTGAAACACATTTTTGAAATGCATTTTACAGTTTTGATTCTGTAATTCGGTGTTTTTTTTTTATTTTCAAAGAGGCATATAAAACATAATAAACGAGAAAATGTATCAAAGTCAAAGTACTACCCTGTTGGTAGTCAGTAACGTTACTAATATGTTGGCAGTCAGGACTGTGCAGTGTTGATGTTTATGTGCTCACCTGCGTCAGGTGGATCTCGCTCCGCCTTCTCTTGTTTGTTGATCCAGCACACCGGCGACGGTACAGTTCAGTTTACAATGTGTGAGGCAAGTGAAACAAAAACAAGACACATATCCATTCTGAGAAAAAAGTTGGCCAAAACCGGGGCTAATCAGCGTGACTTACACTCGACTAACTCCAAGACTGAAGGTGCGTGACATAATCTCCAAATATTATTGCTGTAGCTTAGAGACTTTCAAGCGGCAGGACCTTCTGTCGCAAGTAGGCTTTCGCTTTAGTGTGGGAAGTTTAGGGGTGGAGTTGTCCCGCCCACCTGGAGTTCGTTCCGAGGGTAGTCTCAGCCTCAGACGTTACGCTCACGGACAGCGATGCCCATTTTACGCACAGACTCCGCGTCCACCTGTTCCCTAACCGTATAAAATATAATTTTATGAAAAGTGCGTGCTTACTTTGTAACACAGCTGAAAGTCAGGGTTGTAGCAATAATTGACAACAAAGTGTGATGTAAAAAAATAAAAATGTTGGATACTGACTAAAGTAGTATTTTTAAAACAGTTTAATGATATTAACGGTGTAAATTAGTGTTAAACAGTGGTAAGAGAGTCCTTATACACACAGTGAACTTCTGAAAAACATCCTAGCAATGTAAAAAAAAATTATTGTAATGGCATGCATTGTTGAAACGTGGCTAGATGTACAGAGAGAGACAAGTTATAGTGTTTCTTTTGTGCTAACAACATACAATACTTTCTTTAAAGTGTAGTGTAGAAGGTACAATCAATTTTAAACTGTGTTCAAATATCTAATCTAACAGGTTTTTTCCAGTAGCTCCTCCTAAAGCTTAAACAAATCCTTCAGCGAGGAACCAGTATGAGGCATCTTTCAACTCGAAGTAGACTATTTCCAGGACATTTAAAAACTAAAAATAGAGAACTGCTGTGTGAGAGTTGAAAGAACAACAGCAACAGTTCTAATATTTTGAAGGTTTTAAAATGAAAAGAACATCTCAAATTCAAATTCAAAGCAACAGAGGCACTAATTTTAAGAAACAATGGCTGTACTGGCTAGCATAAATAGCTGTTAGACTACTGCTAAGCAACCAAATAAGAAACACAAAAAGATACCCAACCCTGCACACAATAAACAAAAATTATAATTAAATAAAATAACCTCATCTCTGTTGAACTAAATATAGCAATATAGCAGCATCCCTGATGGTGATTTGGAAAAAATGTAGCTTTTGATACTTTTTGCACTTTATGAACATTGTACTGTCTTCATGGTGAATGAGACTCCAATCCAGAGGTCATTTCTGAACAGTGTTTTGTCGACTTGGTACTTTTCAGGTGTTTCAACCCTCTTTTTCCATTTCATATTGCAGCATCCTTCTTTTCTCTTCTCTTCAACATGCTGTAAAGTTTTTATGTCTATTTCATAATGTTGTTCTCTGTTTCCTGCCACTATCTCCTCTTCTCCTGGAGTTCAGGGACCTGAGATCCATCACCCCAGTTCTTAGTGTTGAGAACATGATACCTGTTCCCACATTTCTCCAGTGAGCCACTGGAGAGCATCACCTTCACTTGCAATGCATAACTCTATGGGAGTTTCTCCTATAGTTCATCTCCAACAGCGAACAGAATCAATGTGTGATTCCAGACTCTTTCACCAAAAGAATCCATGATTTTCTCTAATGCATTTTTCTCTTCCTTAGCAAAGGAAGACTCAACACTCTGGACTAAAATGAAATATAATAATCAATATTTATCACCAACCTGAGGAACTTTCTGAACTATGTGGATTCATAATGACACTGAATAATGACACTTTAATGGGTTAATGTCTGGATCAGTCATTTAAAAGAATGCATTAATCGCTGTTATATACAGGTAATGGTAATGTATTTTCAGAGATATTGTGTTGCCTAGTATAACTTGATTACAGAGAGCAGAACTTTATTCCCTTACTACTGCTGTTTAATTGTGCCAAGTGGTTAAAACAGTCAGGTGTGTTGATAAAAAAAAAAACAGACCCATAACAAAGGAATCAATGTGAAATACAACATTTAAGCTCCACAATGAGCCACAATCTCATTTACTAAATGAATGAATGAATTGTGTACATGTACATAGTGAGCTAAAGTGTACAAAAAAGTTTTTAAAAAATTAAAAGCTGTGTTTTAAAGGCCAAGCTTTTATAGATGTTGACGACATAGCTGTACACAGAATAGAGGTCCAAACTATTTTAGCCAGGTCCACTCATTTGCAGATTTATGGCCTCACCACTGGTAAAGATGGATAACTGCTCAGATGATTCTCAAATCACTATAAGTGCTTGTTTTTATGAAATGTATGTTGCCCTTTGCTGGTACGTGATTTACATTTAGTCCATTGTGTCCTCTGAACAGTCACTCTTCCACGTGACTTCAGTAGGGGCATCAAAACACTATATGACTAAATTTGAAAAGCAGCAACATGAGAGAGACTGCAGTTTCTATGGTCAAATCATCATTTCTTCTGTGGGGAATATAAAGTCATCAAGTAAAAACCAATGAGACACTTGCTATGTAATATTACTGCTATTATATAAATTCAGGGCATTTATTTCAAGTTACTCAAATCTGCTAATATGGTCCACATATAACCACTGAACTGAATAAAGTTAGAAAATAAGTAAATACCCACAAATAGCCAATACGCCTTATTGGAGTATCAGTCTTGATGACATGATCTTACCTGAATATTTCCACTTTACATAAAAAATGTTTAGTAAGACACAGCAGAAAGCAGCTGCACTCCTAGATCCTCAAGTATATTAACAGACAGATCCACATATTTCAGATATGATTGATCTGATCCAAGAAGAGCAGCCAGAGCAGCACATCCTTCATATGTGAAACCACAATGTTTCAACCTGTAAAAGAGAGAACAGTAAGAAACTCTTCACTTCCTTATTCTGTAAAGAATGGCTGAAACCTAAATTTTGTAAAATGTTCTTTATTGTTGTACTTATATATTTCTAAGTACTTTGTTTTTTTGTGGTTGTACTATAATGGACAATTTCAAAAGAACATTAACATTAAGACTTTTTAGGCCTTTTGTTACATTTATTTATGGGTATAGCAGAGAAAGGCCAGGAAGAAGAGGTGGACAAGGACCAGGAGATGACAGAAGCTAGATTCAAAGTCATGAATGAGCACTACCACTAGGCCACATCACCCCACCCCCATGTTTCTTTTGGTCATGAATTAAATTATCACAAAATTTTCAAAACAAAGAGAAATCAGGAGGTCATAAACATGAGAGGAAAACAAATCAAGTAAATTGGTGGGTGTTTAAGTCTAAAAACAAGTCTGATTAAATGATAGTTTCTAGATACAGTAGTTCTACATAGTCTAGATAGTTTTCATTTGTGACTGTAATATTTTACTTAAGTATCTCCAGTTTACAGTCCTCCAGTCCAATACTTAGAAGCTTCACTCCTAAATCTCCTAGTTTATTATCAGACAGATCCAGTTCTTTAAGATATGAGGGGTTTGATCTGAGAGCTGAAGCCAGAGCAGCACAACCTTCATCTGTGACATCACAATCATGCAGCCTGCAGGGAAAACAATAACACACTTTTCACTCTTGTCTGTTTATTCTATAGGAGAATGGGTTCCTTATAAAACATAGTCTACAACCATGGTTCATAAGTGAACAATCTTTTTATAGAATGTTGTAATGGGTTTGCTTCAAAACTAGTCAATACACCATTCATGCATGCTCACAACAGTAATATAACTCATTTACTAGTATATATTTAATAAGAAAAACTGTAGAAAGATACCCAAGCATCTCCAGTTTACAGTGAGGATTGCTCAGTCCAGTAGAGAGCAGGTTAATTCCTGAGTCTGATAGTTTATTTTTAGACAGATCCAGCCATCTCAGGTGTGTGGGGTTTGATGTCAAAGCTGAAGAAAGAGCTGCACAACCTTCATCCGTGATACCACAACTCATCAGCCTGCAGAAAGAACATCTTAATTAAAGATAAACTTAAAGGGCACGTATTATGCAAAATCCACTTTGGACAGAAATTTGTGTTGGCAGTATGTGAACACAACCACCCTACAATGATAAAAATCCACCCACTCCTCATTTTTTAATCTCCTTTAATCCAAATCAGTATCACTAGGCCTGCCGTTTTGATTCTCTATGCAATGTGACATCACATTGCATAGGCCCGGGCCACGGGGTTGATTGACAGCCCTGCACTGCCATAGTTTCCGCTCTCCATAGTTGTACGCTCTCCCCCATTTTCTCCGCGCTTGAGAAGCTGTAATGTCAACAATGTCTCGTGAGCTATCCAGGTGTTCTGTGTTTGGATGTGAGGCTGAACATAAGAATCTTAATTTTCTCCCAACATCTGAGCCACTGAGGACGCAGTGGATTATTTTCATTTTAAAGGGGTGGTTCATTGCGATTTCACTTTTTTAATGTTAATTAGTGTGTAATGTTGCTGTTTGAGCATAAACAATATCTGCAAAGTTACGAAGCTGAAAGTTCAATGCAAACGGAGATATCGTCTTTTAAAATTCTGGCAGTTTAATGCCTACAAAAACGGCTGACAGGGACTACAACAAGTTACTTCCTGGGTTTGTGACATAACACACCCAGATAAACCCCGCCCTCGGGAAAAGGCAGCAAAGGGGGCGAGGCCATGCTATGCTGCTTTAGAGAAGAGGAAGAGAAAACTAGATGTGCACATAAAAATCTATTCATATATGAATCGCGATTCTGTCTTCTAACGATTCTTAATGGATTCACAAGTTTCAAAATCAATGTTCTAAAACAGCGGTTTTCAATCCTGTTCCTTGCGTCCCCCTGCTCTGCACACGCTCTGCATCTCTCTCTCTCTCTCTCTCATT